AGGAGTTCAAGAGCAGCCTAGTCAACATGGCAAAACCCTAAAAAAATACAAAAGTCAGCCGGGCATGGTGGCATGTGCCTGTAGTTCTAGCTACTTGGGAGGCTGAGGCAGGAGAATCACTTGAACCCAGGAGGTGGAGGTTGCAATGAGCCAAGATCACGCCACTGCACTCCAGCCTGGGTGACAGAGCGAGACTCCATCTCAAAAATAAAAAATAAATAAATGAGAATTGACAAACTTCATAGAGCTTTATGGATTCAGAAGATCCTAAAAGTAAGCCAGTGCAAGACTTTTCATACTGACTATCCATAAACTACTACAGCCCCAGAAGTCATCTTGCAAAAAAAAAAAAAAATCAAGCCTTCACCTCATCTTATTATCAATTTGCAGGCAACACAGAGGAAGGAGGAGCATGTTAAAGTATACCACTGGGATGCCATCAGCAAAATCCAGACTGTGGAAAACTCCGTAGGAGATAACCCAGTTTCTTCAACAGATAAAATGGGGGCATGGGGTTGGGAGGGCATCTCTTTAGTTTGGGAAAGACTGATGAGATGTGTCAGACAGCCACATTGTGTGGGCCATATCTGGATTCTGATACAAGCAGACTTGTAATAAAGTGGCATTTATGAGTCTGTTGGAAATCTGAACACTGAACTGGCTGCTTGATAATATTGGAGCGTTACTATAGATGTGGGTGTCATGGTTCTGCTTTTGTGCTTTTGGAGCCCTTCGAGAAATATGTACTGAAATATTTACAGATGAAGTGGTACCATGCTGTTATTTGTTTCAGAAGAGTAACTTAGGGAGGGAAAAGGAGGTAGAGGTGGAGGTGACAAGATTGGCCAAGAGTTGGTCATTGTTGAAGTTGGGATGGGTTCATGGGGTTCTTTGTGCTATTTCATTTACTCGTGTATATGTTTTTAAATCTTCCATAATAAGTTTTGAAAAATCAATTAAGTTGGTACTTTGGGCAGGGAAGGGGTTTGTTGGATTTTACTTCGTTTTGTTTTGATTTAGTAGTGCCCGTCGCTGACAAGAGCAGAATGAAATAGGTGTGTTCATAGCTTTCTGGTTGGCATAACCCTTGTGGTTAGCAGTTTGGCAGATTATATCAAAAGCCTTAAAATATTTGTATTGTTTGCCATAGTAATTATGACTTTGCACATCTAGGGAAATAATTCCAAATGTGGTGAAAACTTTGTGAACAAAAGTATACACTGCAGCCATATTTATATTAGGGGAAACTTGGAAATAACCTGAATGTCCACCAATAAGAGAATGGTTAAAGAAATTATAGGATATCCTCTCAATAGAATGTCATGCAGCAACGCAACGCTGATTTTGAAGACTATATAGCAGTATGGAACAATACTTGTCATAGTTTTAAGGGAAAATTTGATTTGAAAATATACATGGCTGGGCGTGGTGGCTCGCACCAGTAATCCCAACACTTTGGGAGGCTAAGGAGGGCAGATCATGAGGTCAGGAGTTCAAAACCAGCCTGGCCAACATGGTGCAACCATGGCTGGAAAACCCATCATCCTTACTAAAAGTACAAAAAATTAGCCTTGGGCCGTGGGTGGCACACCCTGTAAATCCCAGCCCCTAGCGGCAGGAGCTGGAGCAGAGAAAATCGCTTGACCCGGCGGAGGCAGAAGTTGCAGTGAGCGGAGAATGGCGCACCTGCGCAACTCCAAGCCCCTGGGGCAACAGAAGGTGAAACTCTGTTTCAAGAAAATATATATATATACACACTATATAGTCTTCCCATTATAAACAATGTTAACGAAAATATCAACAAACCCCATAAGCCTTTTGAAATAATAAAAAAGATCCTGGAAAAGGCAGTAACCACAACAATGTTTACATAGTGATTATCTTCTCCCCTATCGCAGACGGAACAACTATCAAGAAAAGATAGGAAGAAAAACCTTCTGTTCTCTACATTAGAAAACTTTTCCATATCATCAATACGCGTTTATATCATTTCTTAACCTTTTAAAGTATCTAGCTGTTTTTTATTTAAATATCAACCAATTAACTTTTTAATAAAAAAAAAGTTCTGCAATACTAAACATTTTCTAGTGTTATTAGCTCGCTGTAATTTCCTAAATCCCATCTTAAGAACTTAAATTACACAGGCCAAATTATCATTTTAATAAAATGCTATCCAGTTTTGGTGTTTTTGGGAGAAAACAATTGCTTAGTCCACCCTAGGCCTTTCATTAGCAAAAAAGAAAGGTTTAAAACGTCCAGTTCGACAGTGCCCCCTCTCCAGCGAGGAGACCTGTGGGAGAATGGGTTGGCCCCCCTACATTCAACTTTAGCTCCCCAAGTGGAGAAGGTACCTCGATTTCAAGTGCGTAACTCACAAAAACTCGCCCGGCCCCGCGCACTCGGGTGGCCTCACGCATATCCCTACACTTTGGGGGCAGGCCCCAACGGCAGACGGAATCATTTGAGGTCAAGAGTTTGAGGCACCCCGAGCCTGGCCAACAATGGTGAAACCCGTCCTCCCCTACTAAAAAATACCAAATAAAATTAAGCCCAGAAACGTGTGTGTGTTCACCGTAATTCCCAGCTACCTCGGGAAAGGCTGAAGCCCACGGGAGAAAATCCGCCTTCTGAAACCCCGGCGAGATTGGACCGTTGCAAGCTGGAGCCGAGAATCATACCACTGCCAACTCCCAGCCCTGGGGTGAAAGAGCAAGAGTCGTCTCAAAACAACACACACACAACAACACACACCACACACAAACTATAACTCAGTTGCTCTCCCCTCTTCCCTCCTTTCTTCCAAAAGGCCCTCCATGTTAACTAAAAACAGAGTTTACTCCACCTCTACCTCCCCCATGTTTATGGCATCCTTAGATAGGGACTTCTTCAGTTTCCCACAAAAAAAAATGAAACCATTGTACTTGGACATAGGAATGATACAAAAAATAAAGAGACCAACTGAACATTACCAGGTGTGCACATATTTAAAAAGTGTTATGGCAGAAATGGGAATGCCCTTTATTGCGTTCCCGTTTGAAAAATGTAAAATACCGCGTGTTTTTTTTCTTACACGTTTGCATTCAGTACTATTTAAAGTTACAGAAAATAGAGCTATCAACCCTAACACTATGCAAAATTGTTTGAAGGAATCAAAATGCTTCGCGAGTGTTCAGCTGAGACCCAGGGCTAATCAAGGAAAGCAGAAGGTTGTTATTGGGGGACGATCAGTTGGAAAACTGCAAGGAA